AAATATGGTCTTTCCTACTCACATCGTGTAATTCTAGCATTCCCTTCCTTCTTTCCCAATTATTTCATCATCATCTTGACAGAGAATGCTGGAAAACAGAATTGTCTACTTCAATCCAAACCTTCACCTCTTCTTTATTAATAATAACCTTCTATGAGTGTGTAACTATAAATAAAAGATGCTGATCACAGCTGCCAAACTTGTTTTAAAACTAAGAGAATCTTTGTCGCTTGACTCAATCTATGAACATGATCATAAGCCACAATGTATGCCAACAGCAGTGTAAACTAATGTTCTGTACAACTTTCCAAGCAAGAGAAAATTAAATATAGCATATATTAATATGAGTTATTCTGAGAATCATAGACACTATCTTCAAAGTTCACACTTCAATGCTTAAAAAATAATCAGTACTTCATCTGTATTGTTTCTATAGTAACTAGAAGCTTAAGTCCTGCAGACCATATTAGACTAATAGTGAGTTATCACTACAACGAAGGTTAAAATATCCTTTTTATTTAGTCTAAAGTTGAATTGAACAGGCCTACTTGTGGATATTTAAATTAACCTAATGGATTAAATCAATTTAATTTGATAACATAGCCTTATAAGGCTATATATAGAATAGACTAAATTAAGCTGGCTCAAAGTATTACCAGCACATATTTCTAAAACATCCTCTAGTAAGATACTAAATCCAGAATATAACTTAAGTAGAGCTGATGAGGCAGCACGTGTTTCTAAAACATCTGCTAGTAAGATGCTAAATCCAGAATATAACTTAAGCAGAGCTGATGAGAATAACTTAACTGCAAGACTCAGTTGCCAGAAGCTCTAACCTGAGCATATCTATCACCCTCTGTTTAAATACACACAAACCCAATTTGCATTCTGATAAGGATTATGGAAAGGAGATCTTATAATCAAGACTTAAATCATAATAACTGGTTAATTAACATAAAATATGTTACACATTTTTGCATTATAATTCTTTGATCCATTGTTTGGATAATGCGTGTTACATTGGGTGGCAGAAACATAACATAACATTTCTGCATTTAAATTTTTAGCCCATGATATATATATATTTTTTATTTCATAAGCCTAAATTTTGGATTAAAATTTAGATCTTCAAAAATGCCATTATTTTGATATTGTTTATTAATTGGGTGCCAGTTATGAGAGATTTTTCTGCACTACGAATTGTTGCAACCTAATCAAAGAATAAATATGGAAAAATACCGTGTGCAGCAGGGGAACTTCCTTATTTAAAATGTGCGCCATCTAGCGACATTTATTCCAAGAAGGGTGGGGTGGTGCTCATTGAAAAGAGCGGTATCTAACGTTTTATGTCATGTAGGTTTAGAACCGATCATGCAGTGGATGAGAGAGGAGCGTGCATTTGCCATGGAGTTGTACTTTTCAACATACTACATTTTCATCCATATAAATTGGCAGTGGTGCAAAAACTTAATCCATGTGATTTCCTTTCACTAAAAAATGCATGCAAAGCCATTCTTGACAATATGCCTCATGATGAGCTTATGTTCTTTAGCGATGAGGCTCATTTTTATCTTTCAGGTTTCAGCATGCATTAAGCAAAACATGCAATCATGGAGTGGCACGAATCCCTGAGAATTTCATGAGCAGTCCCTCCATACAGAACATGTAACTGTTTTGTGTGCATTGTCCAGAATAGGCATCATTGGAATTTTTTTTTTTTTTTTTATAACATTTCCCTGTACGTTTTATCTCCTTGTGGGACGATCGTCAGTGGCCAGCACCCTCGCCTGATTTAGCCCCATGTGATTTCTTTTTATGAGGCTATCTGAAATCTCTAATGTTTAAAGACCCTGGCTCAACTGAATGAAAATACTTGGCCTCAAATTTTGATGAAGGTCAGACAAAGATTTATTGAATGCGGCCGGTATGTTTAATGTCACTCCACCCCATGGATTTTTATATCTTAACCTCTCTTCAAAATTCTCAGGATGGCCTGAAGTCCACTTCTTTGGAGACTGTCAAACTGCATCTCAATAACTTCTTTACAAATAAACCTAATGAGCTTTTTAAAAAGGATATTTTTCAAAAATGCTGGAGAGATGGTAAAAAGTTGTAAAAGAAATTGATCCTTATGTTATTCAATGAAGTTTTCATATGCTTTTGTGCTGCTTCATTTGCTTCATATGTTTTTGCTGCTTCCAGAAATGGTCGAATGTTCCAGATGATCCAGTAGTTTGTAATAAATGCATAACAGTATTCATTTGAAAATACTTAATTTAATAACTAATTCATTATGCTTGTTCATGGAAATTAAAAGTTGAATTTCACTGTGAACCTTGTATTTACTAAAATCTTGATGTTATAAGGTATGTATTTACTATAATCTTGATGTTATTTACTAAAATCTTGAAAATTATTTGGAGGTAAAAATATAGCTTTAAGAAGTAAATTTTAAGCTTTGAATGTACTAACTTAATTAAAAAAAAAATTAAGATAATTTTCACAAAGTTTTGTTACTGAAATATTCAGACCTATGAGAAGAATATCTATATTAAATAATAGTCTAGAATTAAATAAGCAATAATAGCTAATTCAGAAGTCAAACAACAAAAATCAGCGTTATATTTACAAAATTTTCACAGGACTAGTTTCGATAGTTTTACCGAACCACCATCTCAGCTGCAAAACCGCAAATGAACCAGATAGGAAATAATGATTAGATAAGATAAGAAAGCCTGGAAAAGAATAAGCAGTGGCACCATCTGTTTGTGAAACCAGAACTAAAAATAATTTCTTAAAGGCCGAAGGCAAAATTTTGGATTGGAATTAGGATCGTTAACTAGAACAGAAAATTTTTATGTATGTGAAATGCCTCTAGAAAATCCAGTTCTCCAATGGAAGATGTTTTTTTTGAATAATATTGGCAGCAGAAAAACTGAAAGTGTGGTTTTCGGACCAACAATGCTGAGCAACAGTAGACTTCTGTGTTTCCTTTTTCTAACATATGCTCATGTTCCTTGACGCGAAATTTTAAGGCTCTCTTAGTTTGGCCAATGTAAATTAAACCCCCACTGGCAAGAATCCTATAAATACCCCAGGAATTCATATCCGGAATGGGTCCTTGAGTATGGAACTCGGAATTTTATTGATGGGAGAATAACAACCCGAAAGTTAAATTTCTGCAAAATATGTTCAACTTTATAGCTAATTGATGGAAAGAAGGGAATGACAACAGAATTTTTATAATCTAAAACAAGAGTGTGCCTTTTAGTGTGTTTGAGATGAGAATTTTTTTAACTGCTTGATTAATAATGTTGGGTGAAAGTCCCTGTCAATAGCTATTGCTTTTAAATAATTTAGTTCTTCATCAAGGGCTGTTTGGAGGAGCAAACTTGAAGAGCACGGAAAAACATAGGAATAAAATGAAGCTAACTTTTGTTTAGTCGGATGACATGATTAAATGTGGTGGAAGGCAAACCGATGAAGTTTTACGGTAACTGTAGTACTGAAGTTGGATGTGTTACTTGTGACCAGAATGTCGAGAAACAGAAGAAAATTGGCATATCTCAAGTTCAAAAGTGAACTGAATAGCAGGATCAATAGAATTCATTGTTGAAAGAACTTATTTAAATCATCTTTATTACCTTCAAACAGTAAAAGTATCGTCTACGTAGCGGAACCAGCCAGGATGGGACTGAGGGGGCTGATATTACATACAATTATTATGAATCAAAATTGTGGTGAAACTTTAAACTTCCCGGCATGGTTTTCCGCTACGTAGATGATACTTTTACTGTTTGAAGGTAATAAAGATGATTTAAATAAAGTTCTTTCAACAATGAATTCTATTGATCCTGCTATTCAGTTCACTTTTGAACTTGAGAGATGCAATTTTCTTTTCCGTTTCTCGACATTCTGGTCACACGTAACACATCCAACTTCCAGTACTACAGTTTCCGTAAAACTTCATCGGTTTGCCTTCCACCACACTTTAAACATGTCATCCGACTAAACAAAAGTTAGCTCCTTTTATTCCTATGTTTTCCGTGCTCTTCAAGTTTGCTCCTCCAAACTAGCCCTTGATGAAGAACTAAATTATTTAAAAGCAATAGCTATTGACAGGGTCTTTCCACCCAACATTATTAATCAAGCAGTTAAAAAATTCTCATCTCAACACACTAAAAGGCACACTCTTGTTTTGGAGATTATAAAAATTCTGTTGTCATTCCCTTCTTTCCCATCAATAGCTATAAGTTGCACATATTTTGCAGAAATTTAACTTTTGGGTTGTTTATTCTCCCATCAATAAATTCCGAGTTCCATACTCAAGGACCCCATTCCGGATATGAATTCCTGCGGTATTTACAGGGATCCTTGCCAGTGTGGTTTAATCTACATTGGTCCAAACTAAGAGAGCCTTAAAATTTCGCTTATTGAACAGAAGACTGAGGCATATGTTAGAAAAAAGGAAACAATGAAGAGTTCTGTTGCCCAGCATTGTTGGTCCGAATATCCACACTTTCAGTTTTTCTGCGGCCAAAATTATTCAAAAGCATCTTCCATTGGTGAATTAGATTTTCTAGAGGCATTTCACATTCAAAAATATCTTTCTGATCTAGTTAACGATCCCTAATTCCAATCCATATCAGCCTTCAGCCTTAAGGAACTTATGTTTTAGTTCTCGGTTTCCTCAACAGATGGCTCCAGTAGCTTGACTCCTGTCTAGTGTTTCTTATCTTATCTAATCATTATTTCCTATCTGGTTCATTTGTGGTTTTGCAGCTGAAGATGGTGGTTTGGTAAAAACATTGAAACTAGTTCTGTGAAAATTTTGTAAATATAACGCTGATTTTTGTTGTTTGACTTCTGAATTAGTATTTATTCAGCGTGTTATTGTGTCTTAATAATAGCTAATTGATAAAACAGTGTGAATAATTTTACTGTATTAAAAATTTGGAAAAGCATTGTTAATAATATATATATAAATTACTTTTTAGGCCTAAAAGATGGGATGAAACTTTGGAAAAACCACCACTTGATTACAGTGACTTTTTTGATGATGAAGTTGGGCAAATACCAGGTATTTTTTATTTTTGGTATTCCAAAATGAATTTTTAAAGTCTTTATGGGTGTATTTATAATAGAACAGCCAGAAAACTTATTAATTGACATATATTATTATGTATTATTAATAATAATATTAAAAGTTATGTAGAACATTTCCTAAATTTTATATCATGCACTGTTTTAATTAAAAGATCTAAAAACTAATATACTTTGTTAAAAAAATATGCAAGACACTTTTTTATACTCCTCCTTTTTCCTGTTTCATATAGTCCAGAATTGATGTTAATGATACCTGTTACCTTCTCAAATTTTCCATGTTGAATGATTAATTATTTCAAAAAATGCTCCTCTAAATTCATGCTATGACACAGATGTGGTGATATTAATTTTGCTTTCCAGTGCTTGTGTTTATGATAGATTAAGAGAGAAATAACAGTTTGCATGAAAGATTTATATTTAAACCATAATAATGCATATACAGTCAAAAGTCGTTAATTCGGACACCCATAAACCGGAATGATCTATAATCCGGACCTCAAAGCTTCAAACTTTCTGCGCATGTGTCGCGTTGACGCATGCACGTAAGGCCTTTACGGCTGAGAATATGCTTGTGCGCGTGCGCAAAATATGTTTACGAGTGCGCGTTTAATGTATAACGGACGGTAAAAGCTAAGCTAAAATTATTTAATTATCTATTTCAGTTAATGTTGCAGATTGCGTTGTTCCTTAATCTTTGAATTGGATCCGGCTTATTATTTTTTGCAGACTGTTAGAGCAATTTTATAAAAGTAAGCTTGAACTTTCGATTATGTCAAATAGAATTTTTGATATATATTTATTAATATGTAAATGATCTACAAAGCGAAAGTATGTTTTGAAGTTCATTAAACAAAAAGTGGAATTGCTACAAAATATGGATAAAGGCATATCCTTTGTTTATCTAAACTTTGTTTATCTTTAACGCCGCACAATGAATGGAAGTTGATTTGTCAGCACTATCCTTATCTTCAGGGCAGATGTTTTTATTTTATTTGGCTTATAATTCCTTATTAAATGTATTAATATAATCCGGTATTTCATCTCGATGTACCCCATCTTTAATATGATTTAAATCAAATTCCTCGTCATTATAATTCGTTTCCGATAGCGAAGAAAGTGACAGAGGTTATTGAAAATGAAAAAATTTCAATTGACAAATTAGTCGGTATTCTCGACACAATTATAGGACTTGAACAGCGGAACTTTGTAACTGAACAAGAAATTATGTCTGTTTAAAGATGTATTTTTAGGTGTATTTAATTATGGCAAAGCTCACTAGGGCTATCTGCCTAAGGGGAGGGATGCCTTCGTGGAGGACTTTCTAAGGGAAACTGGCTCGTATACACGTTACACATGGGGAAAACCACGAAAACACCCATGCAGCCAGCCCGTTCGTGAGATTCGAACCTCAGACCGAACTACCAGTGTTCAGCAACGTTAGCGCTCGGCCGCTGGTGGGCATGTCTGTTTAAAGAATTAAAGAGAATGTATTATCACATAAAAAACGAAGCAACTTAAACAGCTTACATTGAAAGAAATGTTTAATAAAGTAAAGAAATAAATATTAAGTTTTTTTTTTTTTTTTTTTTTTTTTGTAAATTTTGATACCCTTTAGATCATAATTGTTCTTTATTTCATAATTACGGTTTTTTCATATTTTTAATTTTATAATTTCTGCATGCCATCTTACCAGATTTAAACTGATGATCTATAATCCGGAATCGCCGAAGTCCCGACGAGTCCGGATTAACGACTTTTGACTGTATATATATATGTAGGTTTTACTTTCAAAACATGCACACAGAGCATGGATATTGCATTTTAAATGTTTTTATTTTACTAATAAGAAATAGATAAAGGTAATAAAACGTAAGTTAAGTAAAAATTAATGTTGCAGGATTCATGTAATGATGAACAATTCACACACACTATTAGTTCCACCGGCATTGATAGAATACGTTATCCTCTTAACATCCACAGCTAGCTTTAAATAATATGATTGGCTTGGCTTAAGCATCAAAAGCACTTAAACACCAAAGAAGACCATCTGTCTTTTTTAACTCTTGAGGACAAGCAAGCCATCCGCTTGCATCTGCTACTCTCCACTCTCTTTCACGTCTGGACGCTATCTGGCCTTGTCTTAGCTGCTCCGCATTGTGCTAAGCTGGGATGACGTCACCAGGCTGGTAATAAGTCAGCATCGGTCGTCGATGCTTTCTACATATATATGTATGTGTGTGTGTCGCCAGCAATGTATGAAATGCCGACATTCTATGGAAAACCTAAGAATTTTTAGGCAAAATATGAAATATGAGAATTGTTATATACTTTCCTTAAATTTTCTATAGAATGACATATACTATTTAGGCAAACTATGAAAAAAAGTCATGTTAAGGCTATTGTGTAAAAGACATGCATTCCTTAAAAATACAAATGTTATTTTGAAAAAACAATGTAAGAGTGCCATTAAAAAAACTTTTATTCAAAATATTTCAAGAAAAATAAAAGTTGTACAAAACAAAAATTTCATAAAAAAAGTTAAAAATAACCTACTTGTTGCGACATGGTAGGCTCGACTGGCATTTTGAGTTACTCTTAGTTACTTTTTTCACACAAAGACCTTTGATATTTTGGCATTTTGTTTTACACATGATGAATCCCTGGCTGCTTCCACTGGACGGAGCAATTGCAACTGACTGGAAAGAAATTTCATAGTCTGGAATATCTTCAGTTCTAAGCAAGTTCTTAGGGCATAAAGTGAATTGCGAATCCAGTCAGAGTTCTCCTGGAAATCAGTTATTATATCACACCAGTCAAAAGAGTCATTATTAGTGACTGTAGCTCTAAACCAAAACTCTAAACAACCTACATTACACACTGCCAACAGTACATAATGAGAGTGACACTGATAGTTTGGTTAAGGACTTTACGGATTGAATATTACATACTCGCAGAAATGCCTATAAAATTATCAAAAATTCCAAACCCCCAAAAAATATGGAACTTAAATATCTAATCAACCTATTCAGGACGGCAGCCTACAGAAGATAGTGCTCTCTCAGGATGGGAGCTGTTACACGCGGACTGTGTTTACAGGTCAAAGCATTTTCTCCCACTAAGCCTAAGACGCAATTTCGGAAAGTACGCATTACATAATAATGGACAAAATGTACACTTTATGTAGAAATGAAGCCATTTTAAATATGTGATTAAAGATGTCATAATTTCAATCATAACGAAAAAATTTATTTAAAATAATTTATATTTAACTATAAAAATATAAATATATTGTATTTTACTGTAACTAAAAATACCTAAATTAAACACTAAATGTTGATACAAAATATAAAAAAAAAACATTAAAAATATTTGCACTTAACATTATGAAATACTTGAAGAATATTGTAATAATTAATATTTCAAAGCCGTATGAAAAATCTCATAGCGTGGATCAATGCAGATACCGACATTGCATCATTATCATGCATATTTTCAATCATGCATGTCTATTATTATCATCTTCTAATTCAGAATTTGAAGATTCAGAACTACTATATAAAGAACTCCAATAATTTATAGTTGTTTTCACTGTCTTTGTCGGAAAGATCCATAGATCAATCATTCATAACTTTAGATATTTTATCCTCAGAAAGGTAACGTGGCCTTTTAGCCATGGCTACACAAATGAATCTAAAAGTAAAACCCATGTTAGAATATCTCCCATTAAATCCGATCCTAAGATATAATCGAAACTATAAACAACCACTTCAAAATGAGTTAAAAGGCCACATGTTTCCCTTTTCACCTGCTATCACATGTTTGTGTTTACATTCCTGAAAATCCAATAAATCACAGGCACTTGATGACCCCATTTTCACCTCAGAAAGAGAAATGAGCAATATTTTGAATGGATCGTGGCTTAGTAATACCATCTGTTAGTAAATATTTTGTTCCAAAAGCAGGACACAACTGTGCGATTATCATCCCGCTGCGTAGGATTCGCCGTAACGCAAGGATGTGGCATTAAGCTCTGAAGGGCATCTAGCGCTGACACATATTTGCGCTGTTAAAAGACAAAATGCTGCAAGAAGACAATACCAATGCACTAGATTTCCTGCTGACAAGCAATTGCTCTATAGATTGGATGATGCCATCAGGTCTGTACCAAATTTTCAGTCACATTAAAACTAGACTAATCATCTAAGTCTGCTTTCGACGAATGATAATTCCTTCTGGAGAACATGCTCTAGATACAGGAAATGCTGCAATTATATTCCATCCTTAAAGGCCCTGACAGGATCCATTACACCGAAACTGAAAAAGCAGTATCTGAAATCTCAGTTTTGCATAAACAACATGCAGGACACAACAACAGAACAGATTATCTCTGACTTTCATAACAATTACATAACAAACCCACTCACTAACAACATTGTTCCAGTCTGACTGTCAGAAGTTATTGGCTATGTTAAGAATTTAAAGAACACCAAGAGCACCGGTACTGACAAAATCAACAATAAGATGATGAAGATGCTACCACTTAAGTTAATAGTGAAGCTGGCCAACATTTTCAATACTATACTTTGATGGCAATACATTCCACAGGAATGGAAAGCAACTAAAATCTTGCCTATTCTCAAACCAAATAAACCTGCATCTGTACCTGAGTCGTCTTAGTTTACTTCCTTGCATAAGTAAGCTTATGGAAGCAGTTATTCTCAAAGAGTATGTGATCGTCTGGAAGTAAACAATATACTAATTCCACAGCAGTTTGGATTTTGAAAGTCATTGTCTACATCCTATCAACTTTATCATGTTGTGGAACACATCTCTGAAGGAATTCGCTACAAAAAGTATACTTGTGGGGGGGGGGTATTCCTTTACATAGCCAAAGCTTTGGACCATGACCAGATGAACACATTAATTTACAAAATCCACAATCTGGGCTTTCCAGATTAAATTACTAGCCTACCT